ATAACAAATCCTGGACTAATGTCAACCTCCTGAATAGTAAAGCTTCATAATCCAAAGCACAGCATACAATTAAGCAAAGAGTGGTTTCTGACTACATCAAAGATAAGGGTTGTTTGTTTTTTCCACAGACAGAGAACTGCATTTCCTTCTGGGCAATTTTCCTGGGGGCCAAATGCCAGTGATGGGTAGGAGCAGAGGCAAACATGGGCAGAACAATGAACATGTATTTTACCTTTGAACAGTAGACTAGTTCCTACACACACTCATACAACCCTCTATATCCTCTACCCAGACAAACAAGCAATATGATCAGCACTATCAGAGTGGACAGTTAAAATTTATCAGGTGGGGGGGACAGTCAATAAGGGAGCAAAACAGGAGCAGTGCAAACACACCCACCTGCTGGCCAGGTCCAATTCCCCATCCCTGATCCAGAGTCAGAAACTTAGGCTGGGTTTACACTGTACCTATAAAACATATTTAAAAGCACACACAAACAGTGGCGGAGGAAGCCGCTCAGGCACTTGGGGCAAGCCACCCATAGGGGTGGGGCGCAATGCAGGGCCTCTGGAGTCTGCCTGCCTCCTCCCACTCAGCCGCCCTACAGCTGGGGGGGGAGGCAGGGGGCAGACCATTTGGGCAGTGCGGAGCCTTGGCACACCCAAGCCACCACGTCTCTCCCAGGAGAGACACATGGCTCTGGTGTGCCGCATTCCCCGCCATCCTGTATTTTGTCACCCCCCCTCGGGGGTGACACCCAGGGCGGCCCGCATCCACAGCACCCCGCTTCCTCCACCCCTGCACACAAACATGCACTGATAAGGGTTGCTGGGAATTGTGACTCTGAGTGAAAAAACCACAGTGCTTAGAATTCTTTGAGGGAAATTTTGTTGTTTAGTCGTTTAGTCGTGTCCGACTCTTCGTGACCCCATGGACCAGAGCATGCCAGGCACCTCTGTTCTCCACTACTTCCCGCAGTTTGGTCAAACTCATGCTGGTAACCTCGAAAACACTATCCAACCATCTCGTCCTCTGTCGCCCCCTTCTCCTTGTGCCCTCCATCTTTCCCAGCATCAGTGTCTTCTCCAGGGAGTCTTCTCTTCTCATGAGGTGGCCAAAGTACTGGAGCCTCAGCTTCACGATCTGTCCTTCCAGTGAGCACTCAGGGCTGACTTCCTTAAGAATGGATGCGTTTGATCTTCTTGCAGTCCATGGGACTCTCAAGAGTCTCCTCCAGCACCATAATTCAAAAGCATCAATTCTTCAGCGATCAGCCTTCTTTATGGTCCAGCTCTGACTTCCATACATCACTACTGGGAAAACCATGGCTTTAACTATACGGACCTTTGTTGGCAAGGTGACGTCTCTACTTCTCAAGATGCTGTCTAGGCCTGTCATTGCCCTTCTCCCAAGAAGGGAGGGAAATAACATGCTTCAAATGTGCTTTCTTTTCAAATAAGTTTTATTAGTTTTCCAACATTCTCTCAATAATACCCAAATTATAACAATATCAATTAATTCCAGATCAAATGTGCTTTAAATGAATAGCGTCTACACAGCCCGTGAATCACTCTGCCCATTTGGGTAGTATATTCAATGCTTTTGTTTTGTTTTGGCTTTTACACATCTGTTGTACATTTAAGGCAGAGGTGGTGAAGCCATGACCCTCAGGATGTTGCTGTACTCCCCAAGCCTATCCTCAGCCCCAGCCAGCATGGCCAAAGGTTAGGGATGATAGCAACCTCTGGAGTGGCACGCTTCATCCCTCATTTAAACAATACAGCCTAAGAGGCTCCTCACACAAATGCAAGTGTGCACAGAGAAGGCTCTCTAGAGACTTTCTGACAAGTAGGTCAGAGGTGGAGATGCTTGCCCAAAGAACAGCATTCATTGTACCTGAATGAGCATCTTTAAAGGGCTCAGAATTGCTCTCCTGTATCCTACAGCTGAGGCAGGATGATGGCAATATGCTTTGGCATGAACTCTGAACCAGGAACCTCTTCAGTAAAAGCCAAGCTGTGTACACTTTACTGTTTACCTTGGCTCCAGTGTGCCCCCACTGCTATTGTTCGAAGCTGAGCAAGCAGCGCATTAGTCACAATCCATTCCTATCCAGTAGTTTCTTGACAAATGCTGCTGTTTGGCATTTCCCCCCTCAAACAAGCTTCCATCTGCTTTGAAAATGTAAGCTGCAGTTTGTCAATTGGAAGTCTACTCAATAGTGATCCAGAGTAGATTCCAATGTATAGTTAGCAGAGTGAAAACTTAAACACGTTGCAGGATCCCCCAAAATAGACCAGAGGCAATTGTATTCCACCCAGCAAAGCTTTACTGCTACTGAAGGCAAATGAGCATAATGGTCACAAATTCAATACAATCAGGATTGGCACTGTCCATAAGAAATCCAGTTGCAGCAGACTTAACTTAAACTTACAAGTTACTTATAATAAGCATATAGTATACTAGAACAAAAACCACACTAGAACAAAAAAGTCAGAGAAAGAGAAAGTGTGAAAGCCAGGCTCCTTCTGGCCTCTTATTATAGTACCAAAGGTGTCCTTGACTTTGAAGACACTCAAACTCAGAACGCAAGGGAGAAACGTGCTAAGAGGAAGGCACGCTTGGCAAATCCACATCGTGGTCAACTCCCGCCCGGGAACCAATGTCCCCACTGTGGAAGGACGTGTGGGTGCAGAATTGGCCTCCACAATCACTTACGGACTCATTGTTAAAACCGTGTTTATGGAAGACAATCTTACTCGGCTACGAGTGATCGCCAAAGAAGAAGAAAGAAGACAGAAAGACAAAACAGAACCAGTTTAAATCAGCTGTACTCAGCTTCCCAGAAGGAATAACCCAAACATCAGGAACCTTCTGCTTGCTTCTTTCACACAGAGAAGCTTCCAGAACCCTCTTGAATTAAGTAGAATAGGGGGAAGAAACTCTACAGATCAGATCAATACTTTCTGCACTAAGAAATGCAAACTGACACAGTTAAGCTGAGGTCTGTACATTTGTGACATCTGTGGTAATGCGCATCAGGTGAAGACATCCTTGTCCCCTCTGATGTGTACAGCAACATAAAAATGTTACTTGAATTGCAGCACAGGGAAAGTCCTACACCTTGCTTCATTTTAAGCCACTGGTGTGTACATAGCCCAAGTTCCCAAAAAAACCTCTCAGGTATTCATATCCATGAACCTTAGGTGATCCCTTCCCTTTTGTTTCTATATCATTTTTGCATACCTGCCTACATGACTAGTGGCAATGCAATTAAGCAGTTTCTTTAACCTGGGCAGGATCTGTTTTCATTAAGAACCTTACATTTTCATTTCCTGAAGGCCATGTCAGAGCAGATGATTCAGAAGCCACTCCTGCCCTCGGGATAGAAAGAAAAAGTATTTGCATATAGCATAGCAGTGAAGTCAGACCTATAATCATGCTGCCATTATGACAATGGCAGATTGGGTCCAAGGAAGCAGTGCTTCTTTTCATGGCCTTGATCCAGAACAGAGAACTGACTCATTTCAGTCACAAAGAGAGATTCTAAAGAAGCACCAAGGAATCCAAACATTACCTGGTTATGTCTAGGACCCATCTTTGCTGAGAAGTGTGATCAAACACAAAGGAGAGCAGGGCTCCTATACCTTGACCAGTTGTGTCGTGTTGGACATTTTGGCAGGCACAACTCATCGTGCAGATGTGATAAACAGCAGCATCTGTTGAAATTGCTCTATATGATGAAATGGAAGAAGAACATCACCTTCCTTTGTTCTTTTCTGGTCACCCGACTGCAGCTTTCACGAACTTGGTGCCCTCCAGACTACAACTCCCATTAGCCAGGGAAGAAGGCGTCCTTCCAAATTTTCTGGTTCCACAAAAGCTCTAGGCAAAATTGCTAGCGCGATCTTTACGGTGAATTGGAGACCACAGGTTTTGAAAAAAACATTGTAAGCAAGGAGAAATCATAACCAAAGGGCAACATATAACAAAACCACATGATTGTTTAGACTACACAAGCCCACAATCTAAGACTAAACTTTAAACAGCTGCCAGATACTATGTAGTTCAGGGTTTTAGTATCTAAGTTTACAAGTATAACTTTACCCACTTGTGAAGAACTATGAAACTGGGGGAAATTGCATCAGTCAAAATTTATGTCAGTAAAATATTATATGCATATGAACTCTGGCCTATTTGGAATCTGGTACAGCTGCCAACTTTCCAAGCAACCATAGGAGTTGTGCCTTTAACAGCAGCTATGTAGACATTAACAGACATTAACACAGGGATGGGGACTTGTGGCCTTCCAGATGTTGTTGGACTACAATTCTTATCATCCCTGACTATTAGCCATGCTGATTGGGACTCTTAAGAGTCCAACAACACAGGTTCCTTATCTCTCCCACAGTTTACTTCGGTATTTTTTGTGGAAAGTCTAGACGCCTGCTGTGGGACAACGAATAAATCTTTGAGATGGGTCATGGGGAAACTGAATTAGACTGGACCAGAATACTATGAAGTCAGTACTAAATACAGTACTAGGAATCCTTAATTCTGCAGCTCCCGCTTCATCCATTAGGTGCCTCCCATGGTTCCTATAATGCTATTTGAAACCTCCAGGTATAGGGCAGTATATAAATTGAAACAACAACAACCTGCTCACCAAAATTCACAATCACCCTTTTCAGAAGGTCAAGCTGTGTAGATGAGTAGCAGAGGGTCGACAGTGTGCACTGTCTATTCTATGCCCTACAAGAGCTCACTTGAACGTTGTAATAACAGACAATACAACTGCAGGCTCTCACGTAGACAAGTATGGTGTTTCACTGAGGATGAATGTCTGAAAGTGTCTATTGTCTCTCTTTAACTCTGCTATCTTCTTATTAAGGCTTTGCAGTGGGGGTGTCCTCCCTGTTGTTGTCCATTGTGCTGATAAAGGTTTGTTATTAACTTCCAATCGGAACAAATTCTCTGTTTTCAATTGTTGTGCCTTTTAGGAGGAAATCGAAAGTGATGATACAAACAAAAAGAATGATATAGCAATGAGACACAGGAACATGGAAAAAGGCAAGCCCCTCCATCCTAACCAGGTAAGAACTACTTATTTCACCCACTTGCTACAAGCACTTCTGAATCTGAATACCAACCAAGCTAAGGGCCAAGGTACACTTCATGTTATAGCAGTTTCTTCCAGATGTTGTTGGACTCCAACGTTCATCAGCCCCAGTCAGCATGGCCAACAGACAGGGTTGATAGGAGTCTTAATCCAGCAGTGGCAGACTTTGGGCTTTCAGATTTCAGTGGTGCCCTGTGCAACACCAAAATTCGATGTTCCCCCTCCTCTCACATCTCATTCTCAGTTATTGTTGCAGTGTCCCCTGCGACAGCCTCATGGCTTGGCCCCCAGTGCAGGTGAACCAGTTGCACCCCCCCCCCAAATCTGCCTCCGAGTTCAGCAACATCTGGAGGACACCAGGCTGGGGAAAGCTGTGTTTAAAAATCTGGATTTTTAAAAAATGGGTGAGGCCAGGAGGAGTTTACCCATTTCCACCTGCCCCACAGTCCTGACAACACTCACACACAACTTCTATCTTGCAGTTGCTGTTGGGGGAAAAAATTTCCTTTGGACCATGGTGCAAGGGGAACTTCTTCCTGTGATCATGATTCTGATCCCCTGCTGCTTTCTTTTCCTTTTTAAAATAACACTTATTTTTTTAAAAAATAATATTTATTACTTTTCCAACAATTTAAACACTACAAAAAAAGAAATAAACAATACAAAAACAATACCTTACACTAACACATTAAACTAACAAAACAAAACAAAAACAGTTTAAAACACATCAAACAGTTTCAATATCTTATCTTTCATTCATTTATTTCAATGACCTCCTCACACCTCCCTTTCTGTATTCCACTTCTATTAATTGTTTCAGCAATTCCTTTCCATCTTCCTCTGCTTTCTATCCTTTAATTATCTTAACACATTCTAACCTTATTTTCCCCTTTAATACTCTATTAATCTATTTATACTTAATTCCTTATAACATTTCTACTAAAGCCATATAACTTCATTCCAACATTTTCCTAACATTCATTAATTTTACAGTATTTCTGTAAATAGTCTTTAAACTTTTTCCAGTCTTCTTCCACCGACTCTTCTCCCTGGTCTCGGATTCTGCCAGTCATTTCCGCCAATTCCATATAGTCCATCAACTTCATCTGCCATTCTTCCCGGGTGGGTAAACCTTGTGTCTTCCAATACTTCGCGATGAGTATTCTTGCTGCTGTTGTTGCATACATAAAAAAAATTCTATCCTTCTTTGACACCAATTGGCCAACCATGCCCAGGAGAAAGGCCTCTGGTTTCTTCAGAAAGGTATATTTGAATACCTTTTTCATTTCGTTATAAATCTTCTCCCAGAATGTCTTAATCCTTGGGCATGTCCACCAAAGGTCAAAGAATGTACCTTCAGTCTCATTATATTTCCAACATTTATTGTCGGGCAAATGATAAATTTTTGCAAGCTTGACTGGTGTCATGTACCACCTATAAATCATTTTCATTAAATTTTCTCTTAGGGCATTACATGCCATAAATTTCATACCTGTGGTCCATAACTGTTCCCAGTCAGCCATCATTATGTTATGTCCAACATCTTGTGCCCCCTTTTTAAAATAACACTTAAAGGTGATGGTGTTTTTAATATAACAGCCCTAAACCCACAATCCTATGCAATGTTAGGCTAGCTTAAGGTCATATATGTCAGCAGAGGTAGATGCCTGTGACTGGGCTGCAGGAAAGAATGGAAGAGAATTTCATTTGTTTGCGTGTTCAGACCCAGAAACCTCCCCCCTAAATAAATTCACACTTGACTCAAAATTTTGGTTTGGTTTTTGGCAGAATTTAGGCCACAACTTTATTGTTTACATCAAGTGACTGGTTGAATAGGCTCTGGTTCGACTAGCTGCCTGCCATGCAGGTAGTGCTGACCCAGGGTTCCTGCATAGGTCAGCCAAGGGTGAACACCTGGATAAGAGGAAAGCCGGGAACAGGCTATCTCCGCCACCGAAATGTCCCCCTGGACTCAGGCACGGGCACAATCCTCTCTCAGGGGTTGACCAAACCATCGAGTCCCTGGATTCCTTTAACGGAACGCCCTTCACATAGGGATGGTGATAGCGTTCCCCCATCCCTGTCACCTGAACCAGAGCCTATCCGCAACCTTACAAGTTGTGACGATTTGCTACGCGGCAGGCAAAACCCAAATGGCAACAGCCAATCAGCCAAGTGGGGAAAATTCCTGCCATGCCCCTGTCCCAACAACAGACGACACACGACGGCATAGCAAGGTCAAGTGCAACAAGCTCTAAAAGTAGGGAGAGGTGGGCAGGTGTTCCGAATGCACACGCCAAAAGAGGAAGCTCTGGGTCACATGCATGGGTATATATAGGTCCCTCGAACCATTTGGACTGCGTCCCATTGGCCAGATTGTACCCAACTTCGAGGGACCTACCAGTCAGGTGTTGTGGCTTACCAAATGTTCCCATCCACAACACAGGGTGTCGGTTGTCCAGGTCTCACCGCAGTACGTGCCCTCTTTAAGAGAGGACCCGATTTTCCATCTGTAAGCAGACAAATCTGATTTTCACCTCTTGGATATGGATTGGATGGTAATTATCCTTCAGATTGTGCACTCAATTTTGTAAGAAACAGTAGCTGAGGATGACATGTTCAGGATTCTTCTCTGCTTCTTCCCACCTCCCCCAACCCATCCAGCTTGATACAGACATCAGTATTGAAGGTGACCAGGAAGTGGACAAACATGACTCAGGAGAAAGCAAGGACTCTGGGTGCAAAGGGTAAAAAAAATCATTCCGAATTTCCCACTACCACTTTCCTCTTCAAGTGAAATGTCACCACATAGATGTGTTCTGTTTGCCAAATCAACATTCAACACCATAATTCCAAAGGTGTCACTGATGTGCAGAAGCCTATTCCAGAGATCATCACTTGACCTTGAACTTCAGCCAAAACTGTTATTGTTTCTTTCCTCTAAGTAACACAGAGGGACGTATACAGGGCAGCCCCATTTTATTCTAACAAAATCTTGGGAGGAAGAGACTTGGAGAGATAACCACTTTCCCAAAGCCAGAACTTCTAGCATTTAAGGCCCCATATTTTATACAGAATGTCAGAGATCAGGGGATGGGGAACCTCAGGGCCAAATGCAGACCCCCGGGACTTACTTTCTAGTCCTTGGGACTCTCTCCAATCTCCAGACCACAAAACCTCACCGCAGGCTGGAATGTGTCCTTGAACTGTAATAAGGTTTCCTGCCTGTCTGGATAAAAGGCTGAGAATCAGTGTGCCAATACGTTTTTGAGTGACTCTACTCTGAAGACAGCACCTTACAAATCTGTGAAATGGGTCCAGAGCTTTGGGTCCAGTCTGCTTCCTTTCACTTCAGCTTGGAGAAGCAGCCTGCTTCAGTTCGGTATTCCTATTCCTCTGTTTGTCTTCACTTTTGTTTGCTTTCACCCACCCTCTTTGCTTTTTGTCATCCTAGGTGTTTTGAAAAGAAATACGATGCAGCCTTACACTTTTTCAGGAAACATAAAACCAGAATTCGATATGTTATTTATGGAATACTAATAGCAGGTATTTATTGAACATCACAGAAAATGATAATCTCTTAGTTTTATAGAGAGTTTGGGTGGGTGTGTTTCTGTTTGAAGCCTGAAATTAATTACACAAAATGGAATAACCTTATTTGACAGCAAATGAAACTTATGTGACGATTGCATACCATGCGGAATAGTAATGCTACTTATTATTAGGATCTACAGAGGGAAAGATATGATGTACACTTACATTTTTTATTACTATTACATTTATACCCTACCTTTCTTCCATGGAGATCAAGGTGGCATACATGGTTCTCCCCCACCCTCATTTTATTCTCACAACAACCCTGTGAGGTAGACTGGGCTAAGGGACTGCAGCTGGCCCAAGGTCACCCAGTGAGTTTCATCACTGAATGAAAACCAGGTTTTGAACCCTGGTCTCCCAGATCCTAGTCCAGAGATAGAACTAGTCCAGAGTCCCACGAGTTCCAGCCAGCGTGGTCAAAGATCAGGAATGAAGAGAGTTGGACTTCAACAACATCTGGAGAGCCACAGGTTCCCCATCTCTGTCCTAGTCCAACACTCTAACCACTGCACCAAATTGGCTTGATGTGATATACATCTTTTCAATATAGCTCAGTTGGTAGAGCATGAGAATCTTAACCTCAGGGGCATGGATTTGAGCATTGGGCAAAATATTCCGGCATTGCAGGGGGTTGAACTTCTTGATGATCCTTGCGGTCCCTTCCAACTGTACAAATACTTTGATTCTTTGAAATCTCTCCTAAACTTACTACAGTGTGACGCTACACATATCTATTCAGAAGTCCTATTGATGGGATTTACTCCCAAGCGTGTACAGGATTTCATCCTAAATGATCTAAATTACCCCAAAAGCTCACTGGAAAAGCTTGTTGGCTCCCTGGACCTCCCACATTTTGAGAATCGTTGTTAGGGCACCTGCTTTGCATGCAGAAGATTCCAGGTTCAATTCATGTTATCTCCAGTAGGGCTGGGAATGTCTGCTGTCTGAGATGCTGGAGACCCATTGCCAGTCAGAGTAGACAATATTCAGCTACAATGGGTCTGACTCAGCAGAAGTCAACCTCCAAATGTTCATGCGTTCAGAAGCACAGTTGGTTTGTAATGATTTTTTTTTAAAAGGATATTTATTAAGTTTTCAAAAATTATACAAAAAGAAAAAACAATATTACAAACAAAAATACAAACAAAACAAGTATAATTTTATTCCCTTATTTTCTTATAACTTACTTCCCCGACTTCCTCATACCTCCCCTTTCTGTATTCCAGTTTCTAATTCATTAGTTCAGCAAATCCTCTCCCTTAATTTTTGTTTAGTTTTTTTAACCTTTCTTTTCTTTTTACTTAATCATTACAGCTGAAAACCATTAATTTCTAAAATCCACATCGTTCTAACATTCAGTTTGTAATGATTTTAACTCAACATGAAGCCATACTGGCATTGAGATCATGATAGGTAAATTAACTTATATTTCAGCAATATTGTTTTGTAAACCCCTTTTTGCAATAATACATGTTCACACTGCAAGTTGTAAAATGAAGTTATCAAAGCTGGCTGTTCATTCCTACCTTTTGCTCTTGGATCAGTAAGGTGGTTCCTCCCACCTTAATCTTTAATGAAAACACAACGAAGAGAGGATTGCAGAAACGCCACGCATTCATCTCACATTATCCCACATGTAGGCACTTGCCTCACAGTGCAAAACAAAGCACACTTTATTTATTTTTATTTTTTACCATGGGAGCTAATATTTAAGGATTCAGTTTCCATGTCTCTAGCTATTTGCATAACACTGGCTCTGGGACAAATAGTGAGAAAAATATGTGAAAAGGCCTCTCTAAATAATTGCTTCCTTTTCATAATCACTTCTGCTGCTGTCTGAAGGACTTGCGCACTTGTGTGTAAAGGAGAAACACAGACCTTATTTTACTGGTGATCGCAGAGACTTCCTCATTTAAATATACCATGGGAGGAAATGAGCCAATAATGTATACATTTTACCAAATCATGAAAGTCCCTCAATGAGAGCCAATTCTGTCTTAAATGATCACATTAAAGGTACCCCTGCCAGTACGGGCCAGTCTTGACAGACTCTAGGGTTGTGCGCCCATCTCACTCAAGAGGCCGGGGGCCAGCGCTGTCCGGAGACACGGGCCGTTTACCTTCCCGCTAGTAAGTGATCCCTATTTATCTACTTGCACCCGGGGGTGCTTTCGAACTGCTAGGTTGGCAGGCGCTGGGACCGAGCAACGGGAGCGTACCCCGCCGCGGGGATTCGAACCGCCGACCTTTCGATCGGCAAGCCCTAGACGCTGAGGCTTTTACCCACAGCGCCACCCGCGTCCCAAATGATCACATTATATTACAGAATAAAGACTGGCTTTGCTAAGTCATGGCTTTTCTTTCATTAGAGCCTCTGGTTCTTCCAAAGCTCTTCCATGAACCTCAAAAATTGCTTCCATTCAAATGACTGAACCTACCCTGGACCTACCTGGGATGCAGGTGGTGGCGCTGTGGGTTAAACGACAGAGCCTAGGACTTGCTGATCATAAGGTCGGTGGTTCGAATCCCCATGACGGGGTGATCTCCCATTGCTTGGTCCCTGCTCCTGCCAACCTAGCAGTTCAAAAGCACGTCAAAGTGCAAGTAGATAGATAGGTACCGCTCCGGCGGGAAGGTAAATAGCATTTCCATGCGCTGCTCTGGTTCGCCAGAAGCGGCTTAGTCATGCTGGCCACATGACCCAGAAGCCGTACGCCAGCTCCCTTGGCCAATAAAGCGAGATGAGCGCTGCTGCAACCCCAGAGTCAGCCACGACTGGACCTAATAGTCAGGGGTCCCTTTACCTTTACCCTGGACCATAATACAGATTGTGGTCTACAGGTAGCTGGGCCTAGACTGGCCAGGTCTCCTTGAAATACTTCCTGATAGTCTACAGTTCTTGCATTATCCTCTCCCTTTCACAAGAACAGAGGCTGAAGCACTATGAGTGGAATTCAACTAAGTTCTATTCAGAGTAGATGTGGTGTTGTTTTTACTTAAATTATAGTAATTATTTCCAAATGTGCATCTATCTATATATATAAATTAGCATGTGAGAATCTTTTGTCCTTTTAAAAATGTACACCTTTTGTGTGATACGAAGGTATGTGGTGATGGGGAAATGTTGCACTTGGGGTGGAGCTCTCAGCTCTTCTCTGATCAGCGACAGAGAATTTCAAATAGATACACACATATCAACAAGTGTAATGTGAGCAAGTCTTCTTCTAATTTTCTTTGTCAGTGAAGCATGGAAATTTGGCTTAGTTAAACATTAGATGTGATAGTGTGAGTGGTCCTTTCTGCTTTGCTGGGTAAGGATGCTTCCACCATCCTCCCTCTTCAATAATAATAATAATAATAATAATAATAATAATAATAATAATAATTTATTTATACCCTGCCCATCTGGATGGGTTTCCCCAGCCACCCGGGGCACCTTCCAACAGATTATTAAAAACACAACAAAACATCAAACATTAAAAATTTCCCTGAACAGGGCTGCCTTCAGATGTCTTCTAAAAGTCAGATACAGTAGCATCTCAGCTTACACGCAAACTTCAGGTTGTGAAAGTGGCAAACCCGGAAGTGTTTTGCCTTGTTCGCATCCGCAAAAGCGCTCTACCATGCTACGCGCATGCACAGAAGTGGTCCCTCAGGTAACCTCGTGATCCGACTGGAGCTCCAGAAAGGATCCCGTCTGCAACTGGAGGTACCACTGTAGTTGTTTATTTCCTTGACATCTGATGGGAGGGCGTTCCACAGGGAGGGCGCCACTACCGAGAAGGCCCTCTGTCTGGTTCCCTGTAGCTTTGCTTCTCGCAATGAGAGAACTGCCAGAAGGCCCTCGGAGCTGGACCTCACTCTTCCCCAGAATTCCAGCATAGGAAGCTGCCTTAAGCCAAGCCAGACAATTGGGTCCATCTAGCAGCTAGATTCTCGCTCAATGCTGCCTACAGTGATTGGCAGGTTTCCTTCAGGATTCTTTCCCCAGCTTCACCTAGAGATGTCAGGGATTGAACCTGGAACCTTTTGTGTGCAAAGCAGTTGCTCTTCCACTGAATGCTTCCCCAAGCATTTGCTTATCTCGAATGGAAAGGAAAATTGCGTCAATAAGTGCACTGGCTTATGCAAGTAGCACTGTTTGAAGTGCTGTTTTCCAAACAAAGGCTTGGATAATTGTAGCAAAGATGTTTGAGGATTTTGTTGGGAGAGGAAACAAGGGAGGACAGGTATTGTATGCAATGGGCATGCCTCATATATGGCATATCTGATTTATGACTATGCTTGTTTCCATGACAGCTTATCTGGCCATGGTGATTGCGGCCTGTATCTTGAATTTTCGCAGAGCTTTGGCCCTCTTTGTACTCACCATCCTGGGCATTTTCTTCATCTGCTGGGACTTTTTGATGGCCAGATATGAGGACAGAATTGCAGAATCGCTTTCCCCTTGTGGAAAGTTTCTGGATACCCAATGGTTTTGGCTGAAATGGTAAATATTGTGGTTTCCTTTCTTTGCAGATGAGTTAGTTGCTCTAGCTCATAATCATCACATAATGTGTTCATTGAAATCACACTTTGAAACCATGATTTATTAATTTTTAAAGAGGCAGGGAATATAAATGCAGCTTTATGAACACCGAGGATGGACCTTTAGGTGTTAGTTCTTGGTAAATGTTAGTGCCTTCTTAACCCTGCAGAAGTCAATTTCAGTATATATAGCCATAAAACGGGTAGGCAAGATCTGGCAACATTTGAAGCCACCTCTCACCTCTGCAGCTGTCTTTTTTCACAGCAGTTTGATGTGCGGCACTTAGCAGATTTCAGTGTTTAGCTCATTGGTATCGAAAGGTTATCAAAGTCCCCCTAGGAGGGAACCTCTCCTATTCACTCCCACAAGGAGTAGTGATGGCCACCAACTTGAATAGCTTTGAAAGACACATTCATGGACCGTATAGTAAAAGCTTTGGTTTTCCCAGTAGTGATGTATGGAAGTGAGAGCGGGACCATAAAGAAGGCTGATCGCCGAAGAATTGATGCTTTTTAAGTATGGTGCTGGAGGAGACTCTTGAGAGTCCCATGGACTGCAAGAAGATCAAACCTATCCATTCTGAAGGAAATCAGACCTGAGTGCTCACTGGAAGGACAGATCGTGAAGCTGAGGCTCCAATACTTTGGCCACCTCATGAGAAGAGAAGACTCCCTGGAAAAGACCCTGATGTTGGGAGAGATGGAGGGCACAAGGAGAAGGGGACGACAGAGGACGAGATGGTTGGACAGTGTTCTCGAAGCTACGAACATGAGTTTGACTAAACTGCAGGAGGCAGGGGAAGACAGGAGTGCCTGGCGTGCTCTGGTTCATGGGATCATGAAGAGGCGGGCATGACTAAACGACTAAACAACAACAGCAACAAGACTATCAATGGCTACTAGCCGGGATGATACCGCCGCCCTCCACTGTCAAAGGCAGTATGCCTCTGAATGACAGCTGCTGGGAATCACAAGTTGGCTCTTGTGCTGAGGTGCTGCTTTGGGGCATCCCATAGACACCTGGTTGGCCACTGTGAGAACAGGATGCTCGGCTAGATGGGCTTTTGGCCTGATCCAATAGCCTGTTCTCATGTTCCTATTTTCTTAGCAAGAGGAAGCCAGACTAGTTTTTCCTTGCTTCTTGGCAGCCGTAAATATATGCCTTGTCTTGTTTGTAGGTAAACAGGGAGGAAATATAGGGGGGGTTGTGTGTGTTGATGATTTATATCTGTTTGTTTGTTTTAAGGTAATTATAAAGTATTTTAAAAACATTTATGTGGGATGAAACATAACCCGAGAGGTCGGCATGCCTCTCAAAGGTCATGTACCACTGAAAAATGAATGCCTATATTCACGCAAACCTTCAGGTGGCCTTAACATTCTGATCTTATGCATGTTTACTTGGGAGCAAGTCCCACTGAGTTTAGCAGACCTTAACCCTAAGAACATATTGTTACAAACACTCCAACTGATGAGCAGCAGGAATTCACAGGAGTCCCAGCCTTGGGTTGGGTTTTGTTGGAAAGAGGTCACTGGAGCCTTATGACACTCTAATAGACCTTGCCCCAACATTAGGTTTTTAGGTGGAGCAACAATACCACAGCCTTGGATTCTCACAGACAGCAAATGAGGCCTTTGTGTGACACCTGCTCTTGCCAGGGGAGGGAGGGAGGGCTAGCCCCTTCATCTAAGCATCACCTGCTATGATAATGAAACTTTGGACCAAGTTTACGTAACAAAGCCAATCTTTAACAGACCTAGATAGTGGCATTAATTGAACAAAGAAAGCAGTTTCACCATACCCCTCAACTGTCCTGGCAAAACTGGGATGTCCCTTTTTTTGCAAGAGCCCAGTGCCCACTTTGGGCACAGCCATCTCATGCCACTATCTCACCCTGAAAAAAGCACTTTTCCAGGGTCGCAATCTCGTGCAGTGCCCAAAAATGGGTGGTTTGGGGCACTGTGCTCTTGGGCATGGTCTCTTGAAACCATGATCTTACGCAGGTCACATGACTTGTGTGGGAGTGCAGCCCTAGAAGACACGCATCCCGGTTTTTCACCTCAAGGGCATGGTTTGACTATTTGAACAGTCTTTGCAGAAATACTATCTTATAGATATAAAATCACAAGCTTGAAGAAGCCCTCCAAAATCCATTTAGTCTAACCCCAAACTTATTGCACTATGCATGGCATTATATTCTTAATCTGCATTGATTTCAATGGGATGTAAGCACCCTAAGCTATGCATAAAAATGCGTAGTTGTATTTTTGGTTACAATTTATTGCTTTCTTAACCTTCCTGGAAATAACCTCAACTCAAACCTTCACTGGTTGGGAAAGAGCCAAACCCACCCCATCCCATTCAAGTAAAAAGTGGGAAGAATACATTTCTGTCTCTTGTGAAGATGGCACAACCTATGATGACCCAAAAAAACTGAGCAAGGTTCAGCCAGCCATCTGTTGTGACCTGCAGGACAACCCTCCTGCTGTCACACCCTAAGGCAAGCAGCAGAAACAGGAGAGTTCTTGAGCCCGTGGTGGGCAGCCGTTCACAGAGATGGCGGGCTGCATTTGGCTTAGCCTGTGTGCTTTGTGAAGAAGGGTAGTACCAGAATAGTGCTTCTGTTTCGTTACTGAAAGTGATTTGTGGTTGTTCCAGATTTAGTTTTATTGTGCCCCATGGTGAAAGACATGTAACAATTTTTTATATACAGTGGTGCCTCGCAAGACGAAAAGAATACGTTCTGGATTCTCTTCGTCTAGCGGTTTTTTCGTCTTGCGAAGCAAGCCCATTGACAGATTAGCAGATTAGCGCTATTAGCGGCTTTTAGCGGCTTATCTGCTGATCGGATCAGCTGATAAGCGGCTTAGAAAAAGGGGGGAGGGGAAAAAACCAGCAGGAACTCGCAAGACATCGTCGTCTTGCGAAGCAAGCCCATAGGAAATTCGTTTTGCGAAGCACCTCCAAAACAGAAAACCCTTTCGTCTAGCGGGTTTTCCGTCTTGCGAGGCATTCGTCTTGCGGGGCACCACTGTAAATAAGTTGCCTAAAGCTGAAGGGAAAAGAAATTTCAACCAAGATGACGGTTGTAAATCTTTTTACCTAGGGCAGTGTGGATATCACTAGCAGCTGCCATCGTGTGCTGGCTTGTCTTTGACACTGCCAGACAAGGAACCAACCAACTCATTTCCTTTGGCGGCCTTATAATGTATGTCTTCTTGATGCTGATCTTTTCCAAGTACCCAACTAAGGTGAGTCCTACATTTGCTTTGTCTGTGGCTTCATGTACTAACACTATAGACTTGGACCGCTGGCGAATGAGCTTACTTGCAGCAAGATTCCTAAATAGTTATGTATCTGTTGCCAACAAATACCCAGTTTGGGAGTCAAAGGCTTGATGTGAGTACTTTTGATACAATTTATTAAAAAACACTCTAGGCAGATGCTTTAATCTCCTATGGTCACAACTGGGCCAGGTCACTCAGAAGGAAATGATTGGGTTACACCAGAATCTTGAAGATGCAGCCTAAGTTTAAGAGGGCTGAAAATACCCTAAACCTAGTCAGGGCTCCAGAAACGTATAGAAACAAACCACAGAATATGCGGAGTTAGCCTATCTTTCTGAAAGAATTAGAGATAAACCTAGGCAAAAGTTCGTTTTATAGAATGGGATCGTTTCAAGAGATACTTAAAAAACAGTTGCTGCAATCTGAATACAGTAATAGCTTTCAAGTAAACTCTGTAAATAATATATATTAAGGAAAAAGATATGAAACACTAAATAGTGTGTTATGAAACAACTAAACAAAATCATGCAATATTAAAAGAAAGAAATATGGAAGGGACGGGAAGTCAGATGTTCGTGAAGGAAATTTATTACTGAAAAAGTATATACCGTACTTTTTGTGATGATTGATGTTTTTTGATGGATTGGTAATGATGATTATGAGTTTATGTTGTACAAGAGGAAATAAGCAACATAGAAGAGGAATTGCATGCAGATACAAATTCTGATAGTTAAACCACTTTTCTGGAAAAATTAATGTCTTGACTGTAACCCATAATCCTCCACATAGTATTCCTAAAAACACCAAGTTATAATAAACCAGTTATCTTGTGTTTTCCCATGAGCCTTATACCCCCTAATGGGCCAGTTCTGTTACAATGAAATCAAAACCTGAACCCATTAGCTTTAAAATAGTCGAGATTTATAGAACTGTTCATAGTGGGATACTTCATTTTCTAAAATAAGTATGTTCTGCAAGCTTAGCCTGTAAAATTCTTCCAAGTGGTCAAGTATTAGAACCACAAAACACGAATACACACATGTGCCTTTAACAGGTTTTTTCCCTTATACAAGAAATTTTAAGCCGTAATATATAAGATATATATGGTAAGATGTTAGTTCAAAAAGTGCATTCTACTCCCCTCCCTTAATTTTCCTTTTCCAATTGTCAGTCAGCATTGCTATTGAGCATGCTCAGTCCTCAAATAACTGTTTTAGGAAGGTGTTTTCTTCTGGTTCCCTTAGTTTTAAAACATTTTGGGTACTTCTGCAAATCATGGGGTTTCCCTGTATCTGTAGATTTTGCTTTCATATTTGTTAGTGGCCCTGTTTGGACTGTAAGATTGTTCATGCTCAGCACCTGAGATTGCTATTAGATTGGTCAAATTTGCATTCTAAATCGAGTGCTTTCTTTGTTTTGATGCATGGCTAGGTTGTATGGAGACCAGTAATTTGGGGGATAGGATTACAGTTTATTCTTGGACTAATAACTTTGAGGACAAAAGTAGGATTCGATGCATTCAACTGGCTTGGTGGTCAAGTGCAGGTAAGCCATTTTTTCTACCTATATGCATCAGCAAGAAGAGCTGCCTGGGTGGCTGCGGGAGGAGAAAGAGAGCCCATGTGAGTGGCTCCATGAGGAGCTATCCCAAAGTAGGTTTATCTGCCACGTCCTGGGGGCTGAAGCATGCTCTCCAACATGCTGCAGAGAAAAACCAGGATGTGCATCTTTTGGGGCTATGCAAGTCACATGGCTCACATGAGAACACCCCCCAAACACACGTCTTTTGGGGCTGTGACTTTTGGGTGATAGAGTGACTGCTGCTGGTCACGTTAAAGGGGGACAAAGAAATCATAATAAATAATAATAATATTTTTTTATTTATACCCCACCCTTCCCAGTTCAGAAAACTGGGCTCAGGGCGGCTAACAACAAATTTAAAACACTTAATTGTAGAAGCAGCATAAAATACAGTATAAAAACATGAATAACAATAAAATTCAAAGCTCAGAAATCAATTTGGGGGAAATCTATCCAATAAGCATTAGATAGTCACCAGGGCTAGCTGGCTGAATTGGTCCTACTTGGGCCAGTGAGGAGACCAGGGGAGAATTAGCTGTGGGGTCTCAGAGCGGGTAATCTTCATAAAAGGGGAGGGGGGAGAGAAGGGAAATAAAAGATCAGGCTGAATTCAAATTAAAGGCCAGGTGAAATAGCTCTGTCTTACAGGCCTGACGGAAGGAGGTTAAATCCTGAAGGGCCCTGGTCTCATGGGACAGAGCATTCCACCAGGTCAGAGCCATCACTGAAAAGGCCCTGGCCCTGGTGGAGGATAGTCTGACTTCCTTAGGGCCCAGGACCAGAAAGAGAGAGACCTAGATCTAAGAAATCCATCCTATGGTGGACAAGAAGGTGGGTGGTGATGGTGGTGGTGGAAGAGATATTCTCACTAGCTCAGTGGGGCAACCCTGACATCAGCGGAGGTTGACTGAGGGAACCCAGAAGTAAGCTTAGAACAAGCAGTGGCACTGGGGTGGGAGCTCACCACCAGATGTCACACTGCCAGGTGTGAGCCCAGAAAAGGTGTGTCTTTCAGGGGCATACTCTCATGGGAGCCAAAACAGAATACCCTGGGATCCATCCAAAGCCAGGATGTCTTCTGTAATTCCAAGATGTCCCGCTTAAAGTGGGACAATGGAGGGGTTTTCTGAAGGGAAGCAGCAAAGTAGATCACTCATAGAGCGATTACTTGGGATACGGCCTGATCCATGTGTGTGACTCCCGGCCAAGATGAAACTGTCCACTTTTCCACCAGGGCTCCTGAATCTTCCTATCATGGAGGATAATATTGTCAGTTTCTTGCCATGACGGCTATTGCCCTGCCTCCACAGTCAGAGACAGCAATGCTTCCGAATACCAGTTGCTGGAAACCACAGGAGGGCAAAGCGCACTTGCGCTTGAGTCGTGCTTCAGTGGCATCTGGGTGGCCACTGTGAGAACAGGATGTTAGGGTCAATGAGTCATTGCCAAAGCAGGTTCCATTTTAGAAAAGGCCTTCTGTGTGGGAAATGGAGGGATGCCTCTGCTAAGACAGTACTTGTCAGGATTAACCAGTTAAAATTGAAGCATTAGTGCAAAGGTCTACACTGTTGGGATCTGAGTTACGACCGAGCTGATAAAGCTCATTTTCCTCCAGCCGAGCCTATGGAATCGCCTCCCGACGTGATTAACGACCTGAGCCTTTGATGAGGCCTCAGACACATTCCCATCCAGCAGAGAATCAAAGCAGCACACGGAAGTGATGAGCTTTATGGCTACTTGGCTAAAGAGTTTATTTCTAAGCTACGCAGACAAAAAACACATCCTCTCTCTATGAAAGCAGAGAGCAACTGAACAACAAAGGAACAAAGGAACAGGAAACCACTAACGTCACATCCGTCTCCCGTGAGACTTCCAACAGCCTGGAAGGTCTCTGGAATGTAAACAGAGTACTGTGACTCCAAGCAGCTGCACAGTGGCAAAACAGAAACTAACATACACTAGGAGTGAGGAACCTTTGGCCCTCCAATTACAGTTGTACCTCGGGCTAAGAACTTAATTCGTTCCGGAGGTCCGTTCTTAACCTGAAACTGTTCTTAACCTGAGGTACCACTTTAGCTAATGGGGCCTCCTGCTGCTGCTGCGTGATTTCTGTTCTCATCCTGAAGCAAAGTTCTTTTTATAAAGATTACCCGCTGTGGGATCCCACAGCTAATTCTCCCCTGGTCTCCTCGCTGGCCCAAATAGAACTAATTTAGCCAGCTAGCCCTGGTGATCATCTAATGTTTATTGGATGGATTTTCCCCCTAAATTGATTTTTTACTTTATTGTTATTCATGTTTTATACCGTATTTTATGCTTTTTTTGTAGCATCAATTAAGTGTTTTAAATTTGTTGTTAGCCGCCCTGAGCCCGAGTATAAATAAATTATTATTATTATTATTATTATTATTATTATTATTATTAATCCAAGGTACTATTTCTAGGTTAGCAGAGTCTGTAACCTGAAGCATCTGTAACCTGAGGTACCACTGTATGTTGGACTACAACTCCCATCATCTGCAACCACTGACCTTGCTGCCCAGCCTGCATGACCAATGACTGGGGATGATGGGAGCTTGAGTCCAACAGTGTCTTGAGGCCCCCAGATTCACTGGTCTGGATTCACACCTGTAACCATTTGGATAAATTAAACATACAGAAATATTTTCTCTTGTGCCAGGAAAAAAGTCAGGTGAAGAAGTAAGTGCAGGAAGTGCAGCATAGATTATTTTTAGGAAACAAGGAAATGTACTGGACATGAACCTGTGTAAATAGATACAGTACCTGAAGGAGTTGTTTATGGTGAATGATGTTCATTTATTTCAAACTACTAGACCTATAACAATGCAGCTCTACAACTCTTGAACATTTTCCATTTGCTGTTCAGAACAAGTACATTCTGTTACATTTCTAAAAGCAGTAAGCTAACCACACTGACATTTAACTGGCGGCTTCACAATGCTTCCATTAGTTTAAAACCATCAGTCCTCTACCTTTTATATTAGCAGCTGCTTTTGTGGGAAGGGAGTGGAAAGCATTGCAAACACACCTGAACTTACAGCAACTCTCTGGAAGACCCAGGTCCAAACACTGAGGCTGCACAATGACCATACATTTAAAGCACTGTTGTTTGGATCAGGAAAAGCTCAGGCCAACTTAACACAAAATAGGAATGACGATGGCCACTTCTCTTTGTATTCTGATGTGATGGAAATGCCGTATAAGAGACTTGAGCATCATTTCCAACTGGCTGTGCATGTGCAGGGATACAGGGCAGGAGCAGGATTAGGATTTTGCCTGCAGGTTTAGAAAGCCCCATTGAGCTCAATAGGATTTACTCCCAGGTAAGGTCCCATCCATACGCTGTTTGTCCTGTGATTTAAAGTCATGAACCCAAGAGGCGGTTTTTTGTTCGTTTTGTCCTGCTACTTTCCCCAGGAAAACTCACTGTTTACTGCTAAATCGAAACAAATGCCAATCTGGCTTTCTGTGGATCAATATTTGTTCTGATTAAGCAGTAAATAGTGGGTTTTCCAGGGAAATGGGTGGGAGAAAAAAACAACCCACCTCTCAGACTTGTGAGTGGAAATCACGAGACAAACACAAGTATGGATAGGCGCACAATAAGTCTATGATTGCATCCTTAGCCAGTAATCAGTTCACCCACATGTATAATCTCTGGCAACATCTCTGGCTCCACTAGGTTGTTCTTGTTGTTGTTTAGTCGTTTAGTCGTGTCCGACTCTTCGTGACCCCATGGACCAGAGCACGCCAGGCACCTCTGTCCTCCACTACCTCCCGCAGTTTGGTCAAACTCATGCTGGTAACCTCGAAAACACTGTCCAACCATCTCGTCCTCTGTCGCCCCCTTCTCCTTGTGCCCTCCATCTTTCCCAGCATCAGTGTCTTCTCCAGGGAGTCTTCTCTTCTCATGAGGTGGCCAAAGTACTGGAGCCTCAGCTTCACGATCTGTCCTTCCAGAGAGCACTCAGGGCTGATTTCCTTAAGAATGGATGCGTTTGATCTTCTTGCAGTCCATGGGACTCTCAAGAGTCTCCTCCAGCACCAGAATTCAAAACCATCCATTCTTCGGCGATCAGCCTTCTTTATGGTCCAGCTCTCACTTCCATACATCACTAAGAACTTCTCTGAGTTCTTCAAGCCCCTTCGCCACGGCAAGGCAGTGATCCATGAAGGGGTCCACTAGGTAGTCCCACTGTATTATTCTCAACAGATCCACCTACTGAGGCAGACCAGATGGGACTAGGGATGGACAGGGGCAATTCGATTCAGTTCACATCTCAGAGCAAAATTACCAATTCACATTTTCCAAAACAATATGTGAATTGAAACACACCTTCAAAATTCTTCAAAATACAGTGGTGCCTCGCAAGACGAAAAGAATCCGTTCCGCGATTCTCTTCGTCTAGCGGTTTTTCGTCTTGCGAAGCAACCCCATTAGCGGCTTAGCGGATTAGCGCTATTAGCGGTTTAGCGGCTATTAAAGGCTTAGCGGCTTAGAAAAAGGGGGGGAAAGCGGAAAAAAATGGCAAGACTCACAAGACGTTTTCGTCTTGCGAAGCAAGCCCATAGGGAAAATCGTCTTGCAAAGCAACTCAAAAACGGAAACCCTTTCGTCTAGCGGGTTTTCCGTCTTGCGAGGCATTCGTCTTGCGGGGCACCACTGTACACACTTATCCATTTTTTGCAATGCATTTCTCCCCCCAAGTGATGTGTACACTAATGCATATACTTCGGCAAAGTGTGAAAGTAACATGCAAAACTGCACAATATCAGGGGGATGTGGCAGCTGAACTGGTGACCAGGCATGGCCACTGGGACCATATAACACTGGTCCTAAACAATCTTCACTGGCTCCCAGTACGTTTCTGAACACAATTCAAATTGTTGGTGCTGACCTTTAAAGCCCTAAATGGCCTCGGTCCTGTATACCTGAAGGAGCATCTCCACCCCCATTGTTCAGCCCAGACACTGAGGTCCAGCTCTGAGGGCCTTCTGGCAGTTCCCTCACTGCAAGCTGTGAGGTTAGAGGGAACCAGGCAGAGGGCCTTCTCAGTAGTTTTGTGAAACACCTTCCCATCACATGTCAAGGAAATAAAGAACTACACAATTTTAGAAGACATCTGAAGGCAGCCCTGTATTGGGAAGTTTTAAATGTTTGACATTTTATTATGTTTTTATATGTTCTGGAAGCTGCCCAGATGGGCGGGGTATAATAATAATAATAATAATAATAATAATAATAATAATAATAATACCAGTTTGCAAAAATGTATATAGTAGGGGAAATTACATATAACATGTATAGTGGAAGAATTTTGCACTAAAATGCTGACAAATTTTCACACTTAGTGTGTCAATCATCTGTAGCACATTGTTGTCTAGGAAAGATTTCTTGCCAGTGTTTTGCTTTGTTTTTAACAGTTTTTCTTCTTTTTCTTTTAAGACTTTCTTGGAATACACAGATGCTGGCTCTAAGTTTGTCTTTGGTGATAAATACACTGACCACTTCTTTGCCTTCAAGGTAAATAGTTATTCCTTATGTTTCTGGTATAGTGTCAACCACACAAAGCCATGTAAATTTGGAAAATGTACAAGTAGTATCTGCAACAAAATGCTGCAGTGTGTTTCTCATTTTAGTACTGTATTGCTGTTCAGGGCTTAGCCAGTCATTCCCTTCAAGCAAGTCCTCTGCTGGGGAATGGAATGGTGGCAATTCTATTCTGCTGAAACTGTGTGATACACTGATCAGAGTGTTGGGTCTGGCGGAAAGAGGTCAAGCTTCCCACAAGATATATTTCTGTACTTAATCTAATTAATGTCACACATGAATGCATAGATGAGATTCCCACTCTCTCTTCCTACTAACTGATGAAACCACAGCCATGGGAACGAGATTTGGCACTGGTGCTTTAGTTGAGATCCCTGCATTGCAGGGAGTTGGACTAAAAAACACCCAGGGTCTGTCCCAACTATACAATTATATGATTATCCTTGCTGAGAGGAGCAAACTTTGTTAATGATCTGCAACAGCACAGCCTCCAGCATAAATCTAGACTTTTTGCTTATATAACCCTTATATAACCCTATCACACATTCGTTTGATTTCCTTAATTAATGGTACAATTTTCTTAACGATAAGTTTCAAAAGAGGAATCTGAAACTATTGGGTGATTCTCAAGAGGCTGCTTTAAAAAGAAAAAGAAAAAAAGGTAATCTTCACCCTAAGTGTGCCCTCTAATTCACAAAGGAATCAATAAAATCTCTCTCCAAGCTCCCCTCTCCTGTCTTAGACTCAGGAATGAGCCCAGCAATACTTGACCTCTTTGGAAGGGGATGTTGCCCAGCAACCAATCTTTTTCCATTTCTTTGGTACTTGAGCAGATGAGAGCAGGCAACAAGGTCTTGTTCTCTCTTATTCCATTTCTCTCTCAGCTCTTTCTCCATTGGATTGAGGAGATAGGTCAGGCCAGAGAATTGGCCTTCTGGAAGACACTTCTGTCCACCTCATCTGTATTGTTTACAACCCTTCTGGAACTTTTCTCAAGAATTCTTAATTTTGAGAATGAAGTGTTCCCAGTCCCCCACTCATCCCCCAACCCCGTTCATTATTTCTGTTTGTGATTTCTCCTTCTTTTCATCGGCTGGCAAATGTATTGAAATCTGCTGCTTTTGAGAGGTGCCCCTTTAAATGTAATTCATTCCCCCAGTTTGCCACCTGGGATTTCGTTTAGGATTCTTTCCAAAGGGGTGGATTCCTGTTTGTCTGTTTTTTTTCAAATGCATGTTCCATATGTGATTTAAGGGGGATGGAGAAGGGCCTGCCTGCTTACTCGCTGTTTTGATGGCCACAAACACGTTTCTCCACCTTATTTTCAACCAAGTTGCTTTTGACTCTGTCCCAGTAATATGCATGGAATGTATCAGACAGATTTTTATTTTCAAAGCACTCGGTGTTCCTGCGCACCCTTGCGCAGCCCTAGTGCTTTGGTGCACTAATCAAAGGCATTCTTGAGAGCAGCTGGCCCTGAATGACAAAGGAACCGAGCATTGTTTATGTGGCTTATTAAAAGGCAAAAATATTAGATGGAGAGGTTCTGCTCAAGCGTCCTTGATGTGATTATTGTCAGCGAGACAAAATGGGCCAAGACCTGATAATCCCAGCTTGCATATACATCTAGCAAATTTGTGCCAGGGAGCGTCTTCAATCATTAAACCATCATATTGGATGGATCTGCCATCCTATCCCCTTTCGATGCTCCATTAGGTATTCATTCTCTTACCCCTTTACTAGTACACAGATATATTTGCAGCCTAACGTGGCTTTCACTTTGGGCACCAGCTGCGGGCCTCCCTTCCTTAAATAACACAACAAAACAAAAAAGCACGATCCTTTTGCCACAATCACCCATGCTTGGGCAACTTCCAGTTAGGCTGCTGCATTGTGCTGCATATGGGTCTGCCCCTGGAGAGAATGCTGAAATTGCAAATGGTACAAAATATGGTACCGGATGATTGGCTGGTTCGTATAGAACTGACTGTAATCTTGCCTGTAGTAAAGAGTTTCATTGGCTGCTTGCGCAATTCAAGGTACTGATTTTGACTTTGAAGTCCCATATAGTCTAGGCCCAAGTTATCTCAAAAACCACATCTTCAACTGTCTGAACTTGCCTGTATTTTAAAAATAATATACAGAAGCCTTGTTGCAAGTGCTTCCCTTTCAGAAATGAGGAGAGTGACTACTGGGGACAGGGCTTCCTCTGTTGTGGCACCCAAACTGTGGAATGCCCTTATCAGGCACATCTTTCTACCTATTTTTCCCCGCCCAGGCTTCTGAGTTTTTTCAGCCAGTGAATATTTTCTGGTCTGTATTTATGTTTGTTCTTGATGGACTTTTGTGGTTTTCAGCTTGTCTGAAGGCTGTAGCATAGGTATATCCTCAGATTTCAGAAGTGCCCTACCTATTGTTTCTCTCTGGGAGTTTAGAAAAAAGAAAGTCCTTGACCATGGTTTGATTTTTCTCTCCTAATTAGGTGCTGCCTATTGTCATTTTCTTCAGCATGGTGATGTCTATGCTTTACCACCTTGGATTCATGCAGTGGCTTATTAAAAAGGTAACAAAGCCCCCAGGTGCCTTCTCTCATACTTTTGGTGAATTGTAGAATTCCACTCTGTCTCTCACACAAAGAGGGCCCCACTCTGTGCCAACCGAGTCTGATTCTGTGGCTTTTGAACAACTTAATACTTTTCGCCTCCACTATCCAACAAATCCAGGCACTCACCTGAGTGATATGAATCGTTGCCCATAGAAAGGATCTCCCACTCCTTGTCCACAGTAGCAGCAGAGCATATCCAGGTGGGGCTTGAAGATAAAGAGGTAAAGGTAAAGGGACCCCTGACCATTAGGTCCAGTCGTGACCGACTCTGGGGTTGCAGTGCTCATCTCGCTTTACTGGCCGAGGGAGCCGGCGTACAGCTTCCAGGTCATGTGGCCAGCATGACTAAGCCACTTCTGGCGAACCAGAGCAGCGCACGGAAACGCCGTTTACCTTCCCGTCGGAGCGGTACCTATTTATCTACTTGCACTTTGACGTGCTTTCGAACTGCTAGGTTTGCAGGAGCTGGGACCCAGCAATGAGAGCTCACCCCGTCACAGGGATTCCGATTGGCAAGTCCTAGGCTCTGTGGTTTAACCCACAGTGCCACCCGCATCCCTAGGGCTTGGAGATACTCCTACCCAAAATCCTTTGTCAGTCAGTGCAGACCAGGTTTTCCCAAACTTGGGTCTCCAGCTGTTTTGGACTACAATTCCCATCATCCCTGACCACTGGTCCTCCTTGCTGGTGGGAGTTGTAGTCCAAAAACCCAAGTTTTGGAAACCCTGGTGTAGACAACACTGAGCGAGATTGACCAATGTTGTGATTCAGTATAAAGAAGCTTCCTGTATTCCTAACACTTCCATTTATTTTTTAATTTACTCCATATTTTTCCCACTCACCAGTGAGCTCCCCATTCAGATTTCTTTGTCTTCTCTTCTCTGAAATCCCACCAACCCAAATTGTACAGCTTTCAACCTGTAATGGTAAACACCTGCCTGGTGGGCCCACCCATCAAATATGGGAACAGGATAGCACAAACTTTCTTTTCAAGCACTAACTTCTTGCATAGCTTGAAGAAAAAAGCATCAGGCATAACTGTGATAGGTTAGCTTTAAGTTTGTAACATTGGGGTAGAATTCCTAGTCTGTTGTTTCTGGGGAGATTAGCAGATGTAGGTATCCTAGAGAATCTCTTACTATATTCATAAATTGTAAGACACATTATCCAAGCTGTATTATCTGAATTCAGTAATGTGCCTTATGTGGCCCTGTGACATTATGCAGATTTATTATTCAAACCTATGGTCTCTGGGAGAATATTCTAGGGGCCATCAGATATTCTTCTCCAAGAGCAGAGAGAAAGTTCTAGCCTTGGAAAGGGAGATCCATTGTCAGATACCCCCCTCTCCACTGCCACAAACTTCCATAGCCCTTGCCCTCCCCATGTCCTGCTGAAAGGAGTCCAGGTTGGTGCTGGATAAGGTAGTTAAACCACTTTCATTTCCCTACCACACCTTGGGATTTCAGCCTTATTTCTAGATTTGCTGCAACAGCACACTACAACTTGACACTTTCCAAAGGACTGCTTAGATTACTTAGATCTCCCTGGCAACTGTCTGCATCTCTGCCCCATGCATTGTGATTTCTTGCACTGCAGTAAAATTATGTTTACATGGAATGACAAAAGGACCTCTCTTTGTTTGACACTGAAGATGGAAAATAGTTACTTTGGGAAAGATGTGTAACCACCCTCTAGACATGGCGATGACTCTTCTAGAATTTCACAAATGTGGATTAGCTTGAGAACACCAGGAAATTGTTGTTCTGTGTTGCATCTTTCTTTTCTTAGGTTGGATGGGTAATGCAAATAACCCTCGGGACGAGTCCAGTTGAATCTCTGGTTGCAGCTGGCAACATATTTGTGGGACAGGTAAGCTGTGAAACAGGAAAAACAAACTAATAGCTTTAGGGCAGGGAGTGGGGCAAGGCAGATGAAAAACTTTACCCCTTTATGGTCCAGCAAAGTATGTCCACCATAGTCATGAATAGCAGTATCCTTTGTTCTTAGTGATCCCCATTAAGAACTGTTTGAATTAAACAGTCTGCAATTGGCAAGGACATTGGAGAACAGGCAAAACCTTGGAACCCTGGGGGCAGATTTTAGCCACCACTTCACTAGCACTTCCCAATACATATTTTTTTACCTTCCATGCAGCAGGTAATCAGTCTTATATGGCGCTGATTTACATCAGTTTGGAAAACTTGGATGCAGGAAAGTCTGCTTTCCATAAAGAGCGACTGAAGAGCATCACAGGCACTTGTGTACACTGAACAAAAGGGACAGGAACAAACGGCCAGATTCTAGATCTAGATGTACAGATGATGTGACAAGTTAATCCCATAGATTTAGCTAGCTATTATGTTATATTGTGTAATATATTCACATCTTCAACTGGCCAAATAGATTGACTGTGATCATTCCGTTAGAGCACAAATGAAAGCAAAATGATCATTTGCCTACTTTTAAGCTCTAATTGAATTGTCACTGACTGTTTTTGCATCCCATTGCCCCTTAACACAAGCCTTTACACTTTCACCCTCTTACACTCCTGCAGATCCCCCTAAGTGCATTTGAGGAAGGGGTCTCTAGTCTACAAAAGCTTATTCTGTAATGACATTTGTCGGTCTTGAAGGTCTTTTGCCATTGCCTTTAAGACTCTTGCTGTTTTTGCTGAAATAGACTGGTATGGCTACCACTTTGGAAATTGTGCCTATCCCAATATTTCTAGCTTACAGAAAGAAAAAGGAGATGGTTTTAAATGTACTCAAGTGTAATTTCACACTATGGATAAAATATAGCAATATGAGGCAATATCTAATATGTGCTGGCTTGCTTTTTTGCTTCTTTTCCACCAGACAGAATCTCCTCTCTTGGTGAAGCCTTATTTGCCCTATATCACCAGGTCTGAACTCCATGCTGTCATGACGGCAGGATTCGCCACTATTGCTGGAAGTGTCTTAGGAGCATATATTTCATTTGGTGTAAGTATAGAAACATGCTAGCTCTTAATTACTGTTTTCCATCCCCACCCGACTAGTAACAAAGAGCGTGAAATGGAATTAGTTCTCTCTAACCACGCAGATTCCTAGAAGACAAATCTTTCATTAACAGCACTTTCCTGGGAGAAGGTTCCATTGAACTCTGTAGGCCTTGCTTCAGAGTAGGCAGTTTTCCTGCTGCAAACCAATGTGACTATCCTGATTACATTTAAACCAGTTAGTGTTTTCAGCTAGAAATGCATATATCTTGATTCAGGCAAGACATGGATCTTTTTAAAAAGATATCACTCATACATTTTGACCTATTTATTTTGTCAGCAGGGGTGCCATCTAGGGAGGGCAAGAAGCTAAGCCCAATTTTCAAAGAGAGGGTTGGCCCCCCTCAATATTCCACAGCCTGCCGAGCCGTCAGGCCCTCCCACAGCTGGTGGAAGGCTGCACCAGCCTCTGTGGTGTCAGGAGATGCCACGGGGACCAGCATGCCTGGCATGAGGTCACATTGGCCTGCACGGCTTTGGGAGGTGTGCATGACATCACACAATGCACATGTGACGTCACATGTGTGTTCTGGGCCCCTTCAATCTTGGGGGGCAGCCTGGTGCCTGTGTTCAGCAGGGTTACCACAGGAATGATATTCAGCATCTTGTGCCCAATTAAATGTTGTCCTCCTTCACCTTTGACATTTCAGATTCCAGCCTCCCACTTATTGACAGCTTCCGTGATGTCAGCGCCAGCAGCTTTGGCTATTGCCAAGCTCTTTTGGCCAGAGACTGAACATTCCCAGATAACTGCACAGCAGGCTGCAAAAGTGGAGAAAGGGTAAGAAGATTTATACTTGCATGATGCAAAGGCTTAGGCAGAATTGGGAAGAGTAGGGTAGCTCTCTCTCTCATCACAAAAATAGAGGACATCAATTTGCATGAAATGTGTATGCACTGATTTATAGGGTGAGGCAAATTTCAAATGCATTATAAGTAGGAATATAACTCATCCTAGTGGAGAAGACTGTGATCAAGTGGCCTTTGTGGCAGCTTGGACTGCTGTCCAGGTGCTAATTGTGGATGGGTGACTAACAACCTTTTTTACGCTTCTTGTGGTTCTTTATCTTTAAGCTGGACTTGAACGGGACTCTCAGATAGAGGGCTGTCCTCTGCCACTCTAGGGGAAAGACAATATATAGAGTTGTTATGCAGGCATTCAAAAATACAATATTAGTAAATTGCACAACAAGCCATTTCTTGCCCTTTCACGACACCTTAAATCAAATGCCTGGTCCTCAGATAACCGTCTCACGTTGCCTAACGATAGGGGCGGCTGTAGCTCAGGATATTCAGTCACGGGTTGCATCTTGTGCTGCTTGGCCCTGAGAAAGTGTGCACATGAAATGCTTCTAAGGCTCCAAAGGGCTCTGTAAATGCTAAATATTGTTAACAAGATTAAGTACAGTGGTACCTCGGTTTACATACGCTTCAGGTTACATACGCTTCAGGTTACAGACTCCGCTAACCCAGAAATAGTACCTCAGGTTAAGAACTTTGCTTCAGAATGAGAACAGAATTTGTGTGGTGGCAGCTGGAGGCCCCATTAGCTAAAGTGGTACCTCAGGTTAAGAACAGTTTCAGGTTAAGAATGGACCTCCAGAACGAATTAAGTTCTTAACCCAGTATACCTGAAGGAGCGTCTCCACCCCCCACCCCCATCGTTCTGCCTGGATGCTGAGGGCCTTCCAGTGTCGAGGGCCTTCTGGCGGTTCCCTCATTGCGAGAAGCAAAGCTACAAGGAACCAGGCAGAGAGCCTTCTCGGTAGTGGCACCCGCCCTGTGGAACACCCTCCCCAACAGATGTCAAAGCGATAAACAACTACCTGACATTTAGAAGACATCTAAGTTCAGGGAAGTTTTTAATGTGTGACATCTTAGTGTATTTTTGTCTTTGTGGAAACCGCCCAGAGTGGCTGGGGAAACCCAGCCAGATGGGTGGGGTACAAATAATAAATTATTATTATTATTATTATTATTATTATTATTATTATTATTATTATTATTATTACCCAAGGTACCACTGTACTGGTTCTGATCATTTTTTCTGGTTGGTGGTTTTTTTAAAGGGCGAATTCTGTTGTCATGGGGGCGGGGAGGTGACAGGGGTTCCTACACCTGCTCTTTTAAACATCACATTAACCTGCACCTTTTGTTCTTGTTTTCTCGGTGAAGAGACTCAAAAAACCTGTTGGAAGCAGCCAGCCAAGGGGCTTCTGCCTCCATCCCTCTGGTGGCAAACATTGCTGCAAATCTGATTGCCTTCCTTGCCTTGCTTTCTTTCTGTAATGCAGTCCTCTCCTGGCTGGGAAATATGTTCAACTATTCACAGTTGAGCTTTGAGGTATTAAGTGCTATAAGCTTTGTTGTTGTTGTTGTCGCCGTCACTATTCAGTACAGCCATGTTTGATGAAAAAGACAGTAAATTATAAAAGGTTATTTCCTTGTACAAAATATAAGAAATATAAGGGGACGCAGGTGGCGCTGTGGGTTAAACCACAGAGCCTAGGACTTGCGTATCAGAAGGTTGGTGGTTCGAATCCCCGCGACGGAGTGAGCTCCCATTGCTCGGTCCCAGCTCCTGCCAACCTAGCAGTTTGAAAGCACATCAAAGTGCAAGTAGATAAATAGGTACCGCTCCGGCGGGAAGGTAAACGGTGTTTTCGTGCGCTGCTCTGGTTCGCCAGAAGCGGCTTAGTCATGCTGGCCACATGACCTGTACGCCAGCTCCCTCGGCCAATAAAGCGAGATGAGCGCCGCAACCCCAGAGTTGGTCACGACTGGACCTAACGGTCAGGGGTCCCTTTACCTAATATAAGAAACAAGGACAATATACTTAAGTTTTACTCATGTCCTATAAGCTTTTAGCTAAGGCATGATCTCTCTCTTTCACACACACCCCTGACATAAAATAAAATAATTATATTTTCACATGAATCCCTTTTAGCCGATGCAAAGGGTGTCTGACTGGCCACTTCTCAGGGATGTTGTAGCGCTGGACTTCCTACACGGCACTGAGTGAGGCTCAATGACCTTTGAGGTCTCTTCCAACTATGGTTCAGTGCTGCTGCTCATTAAACCAACCCTTCTATAGTCTGCAGTTATATCAATAATTTTTATTTATTCTTTTTTTTAAGCACCATTCATTCAGCAAAGTCCTTTATTCAGTTCCTCGGTGGAGGGTGTTGCCCCCTTCCTCTGTCACTGGTGTCCTTGGACTGTATGAGACAGTGGAGATCCATAATCAGATTCCCCCTTTTCTGTCTTTAAATTTTATTAAAACACAACTGCAGAGAGGGGTGGGTGGGTGGCCGTGATTAGGGAAGGGGAGTTTAATGGCCTGCCCAATTACCTGCTCCTTTTTGTTTCCCATTGTTATGCGTGCTTTGCACTGGCGCCAATGGCTTCACATGACAAAAGGTAGGGTTGCCTAATATTGACTTGCTTTCTAAAGCCGTACTGATGCATTTGTGAGCCTGACCAGCTTGGTTACCACAGCCAAGCAATGGAATATAGGAGGCGATGGTTGTTTTTATGTAAACAAAAAGCCCTGAGAAATACCAAGATGTGGTTAATGTATTTATTGGCTTTTAGATCAACCCTTTCCCCCCCCCTCTCTCTCTTTAGGTCATTTGTGCTTATGTCTTTATGCCATTTTCATTCATGATGGGAGTCGACTGGGAAGACAGTTTTCTTGTTGGTAGACTTCTAGGCTATAAGACCTTCTTCAATGAATTTGTGGCTTATAAAGATCTTTCAGAACTGATCAAACTGAGGAAGGCAGGAGGGGAAAAGTACATTGGTGGAGAGAACCAATATCTGAGTGTGAGTATCCTTGCACAGTTCTTTGCTTTTATTTGACCCAGACTTCTCAGAGGTTCCATTCATCACACCGAATAAAATTGATTTCTGATTTAAAAACCACTTTGGTTAAGCATGTGTTATTATAGCAACACAGAATATTTTTCTAATGCCCATTTAATTCTGTTACCTCACAGCACCCAATCTGAGCTAAGCAGCATAATCTTCCATTTAGCAACAGGGAGCAGGGCACAAATGTGGAGGCAGGGGGATAAGATGACTAGGCTAATTCTTATCGCTGCCCCAATCTCCAGGAACCGTTTCAATAAGGGAAGGTACAAAATACAATTCCCTAGGGATCTGAAGACAGTGGCAGAATATTTTTCTTTACAGCTAGTGCGTTTTCCTAGGAAGTACTTTGAGAGTTCTGAATCCAAGACTTTCTGCCTAAAAATGCCACATTTTCTTTCAGAGTGAACCATTTCAGACTGAACCTGAACTGACAGTCCATTTTCATTGCCATTTTGGAGTATCAGGAAATGATTTCCAGGGGTCTAGGCTGCCATTCTGTTCATGGTGAAGTGGTCATTTCACTACTACACCCAGAGCAAGTTGAAAGCCTGTGCTGTCACTGCAATGAAGCACTTTTATTTATTTATTTATTTATTTATTTAACTTTTGTGCCACTTCATATTTCAGCAGAAATCGTTGTGGTTAGGCTTGAACCCTGTGTCTCCTGGTGCTTCCTAAGTTCGATGCCAGGCATCATAAAGGGTTCTCTGCTTTGGTAATTCCAGAACTATTCAGCAAGAACATGACGGCATAGTGGAAAAGAGGTTGGAAGGTTCACTTTTAACTTTTAATTTTTCTCAGAGCCTTCTAATAAGTCTAGATACAGGCATATATCTCCAATAAAGTCTATTCTGCTACATGTCCACCCCCACAGCCTGCAACAATCAGGCTTCCCAGCTTTCAAACATTTCCAGGAAAAGGTTGGACAAAAGAGACCTTGAAATGTGTTTTTCTACATAGGCAAGAAGCGACCAGAAATATCTACAAATTGCTGCTTTAAAACATGAGGAGGCACTCATAAGCATATAATCAATAGAAATGCTTGTATAATTTTATTATGAACAGGGAACAGCGGGTGGGAAGAGTGAAGATATGCTCATAGTTGTATTTCTTGCAGTTGGAAAACAATGTGCATATACAGTATATACCCAATAGAATCATCAGGGGCCTCTCACCCATAGAGGCTAGTGGTGCAGGGCGCCAAGTTCTGGAGGACGCCAGGGAAGAGGTGGAGGCTGGACGCGGCGCCTCCCGGCATCAGCTCGCCACCCTCACCCGCCTCCGCCATGCCGCGCCGAAGCAGCACCATGCCTGGAGCCTCCACCTGCTGTGGCCACCATGGCATGAAGCAGCCAGTTGAGCCAGGAGCCGCCATGTCCAGCCTCCGCCTCTTCCATGCTGGAAGAGCTGCCGTCCAGCCGCTGCCCGCCTCCTCCAGCCTCACAAAGTTGGGCGTGTTGCCAGCAGCACCATCCTCCCTTAAAAAAGGTCTGGGAAACGGGAAGGTGGTGCCAGAGGGATCTTTGCACCACGGCGCCAGATATGGCTAAGACGGCCCTGAGAATCATTTAAAGAAAGGCAGCCGTTTCCACAGGCACACAGCAGAGAAGCTGGTTAAATCATATTTTGGTAGATTTTGCCATTTCAAAGGGTAAGATGATGTAACCTAGCAAGATGTTTTCCTTTCTTCAAATTTTAGATTCGATCAGAAACCATTGCCACTTATGCTCTCTGTGGATTTGCAAACTTTGGCTCTTTGGGACTCGTAATTGGAGGACTCAGTAAGAAAACGTTTACTTCTTGTTTGGGGCACAGTATTGGACAAAAATAATCCAAACCCAAACACTCCTGCTGCTGCAATAAATGCAGCTGCAGATGGCTTGGCAGGACTGCACTGCTGACCTGACATCTGTCTGGCTGAGTCACTGCAGAGAGGGGGAGGGGTGTGATGGCAGCAAGGGTGTGCAGTGGCAGCAAGAGCACTGGATTGGCTCTGCTGATGTGTTTGAACCGCACAGGCCTCACCACCAGTGTGTCCTCCCCCTCTCCATCCCAATAACATCTGATATTGTGCTGTACTATGGAGGTCCTCCAAGCATCTCTCTAGCTCAGTGTGATGTCAGAGACACTCTGCACCTCTCTCCTGAGGTGCGGAAATTTCAAGGTCACGAAAATCACCAACTCTGGCTATCTACAAAGAGTAGCCAGAACTTATGGGCTCCGGATGATGCATGAGAATGCATCAACCTCATGCTAATGCCTAAGGAAGCCATTGTCATACCAAAAAGGCAAAGATATCCTGCACTGGACGCGGGTGGCGCTGGGGTCTAAACCCCAGAGCGTAGGGCTTGCCGATCAGAAGGTCGGCGGTTCAAATCCCCGCGACGGGGTGAGCTCCCGTTGCTCGGTCCCTGCTCCTGCCAACCTAGCAGTTTGAAAGCACGTCAAAGTGCAAGTAGATAAACAGGTACCGCTCCGGCGGGAAGGCAAACGGCATTTCCGTGTGCTGCTCTGGTTTGCCAGAAGCGGCTTAGTCATGCTGGCCACATGACCCGGAAGCTATATGCCGGCTCCCTTGGCCAATAAAGCGAGATGAGAGGCGCAACCCCAGAGTCAGTCACAACTGGACCTAATGGTCAGGGGTCCCTTTACCTTTAATGTGAAAATTGGCCCAGAGGCTACTGGACACTTTCCTGGCTGCTTGGTCAAGTCTAGCTGGTGCAGAGATAGTCAGAGGCAGGGCCAGATTTAGGTTTGATGCGGCCCTCAGCTACTGAAGGTAATGGGGCCCTTTATATGTCCAGCTGTCCCTTGTCAACAACAAATTGTGGCTGTTTTTTTGTGTTGAGTATACACCATACACAACACAAAACACTGTTGCTGTATGCAGGTTTTATTTTATTTGCTTTTTATCTTATATTTTGGAAATGTACATCCAATTTTTTTTTCCTTTAAATTTTTCTGGGGACCCCAAAAGAATGGAGCCCTAAGCTATAGCTTGTTTAGCTTATACGTGAATCCGGCACTGGTTGGAGGGTTCAGGAAAACCTTGACCGGAACTGCTTCACATTCCAGAAGGCAAGAACTGATAGTGGATGTCGTTTTCCTCAAATCTCTTCCTCAGCATCCATGGCACCTTCCCGGAAGAGAGACATTGCCGGCGGGGCTTTGAGAGCCATGATTGCTGGCACGGTTGCCTGCTTCATGACAGCTTGCATTGCAGGTACCATATATTTTTTTTCTACCACAGGATGGCAGTGTTTTGGTTTGTGTTCTTCAGCAGGCCCTGCTGGCTCCAGGACATTTTGGTGTGGTGCTAAACCTCATTGCAAGGATGTATTCTGTGTTCATTATTATTATTATTATTTTAAGGTTACTTTTTCTCCCTTTATCTCTTATCAGTAATTTTAAAGATCTATATTAGCGGGCATGCAAATTGATGGCAGTGCATCTACTTGAAAGGGGTAAAGGAAAAGGAAAATAATATTTCCAGCGCTGCACTTCCACCATACATTCTCAAATTGGAAAGAAGAGGAAAGTTTTGTACTAATGAACCTACAATCCAGCTCAAGCTCTTCTGTATTGCACACATGGGTGGCTGAATTTCCACTAAAATCAGTGAAACTTTGACTTCTGGTTCAGATGGCGACAGGGCAGACAGCTGCCTCTGAAACTCCACAGGTCACACAATTTTAATTGGTTTTAACGTGTTTTAGATCAATTATCTTATCTTGAAAATCAGAGGACAGAAGAATGTGGAGCTGTGATTCCAATAGCAATTAACAGGCCTGGAGCTTATTTGTCTTGTCAGCTTTCTTTTTACTGATTGGTGATGTGGGAAGCAGCTGAAACCAGTGCTCTGTAATTAATGAGATTTTTAACTTGGTTTTAATACAGCTTTTAATTGGACTTAACTTGTTTTATCAACTGCTTTTCATTTTGGAGACCTGAGCACTGCGAAAATGTGGTGTTTATCAGGCTAGGCTGCTTGTTCCTTGACAGCTAAAACTGCGGACTTTATCTGTAGAAACTTCAAATTGATACACTCTGGACTGGATGTTTTAACCAGAGATTTGATTTATTTTTGTGCCCAATTAAAGAGCAGCAAATTGTCCTCACAGCCTCTGGCAAGCCTGCAGGCAGCCCACCTGCCGATCCAACTGTAAGCATCCTGCAAAGGTCTACAAGGCCAGATAAGCCCCTTTTCTATCAGGATGAACAAAGTACAAATGTTCTATCAACTGTCCTGGCAAATATGTAAGATCTGCCTGACCATTTGTAAATTCAATGGTAGCACCCCCTGTTGGAAGTCTGTCTCATTGGCTAAAAATCAGATAAAAAGCTTGTTTGGGGATCAAATTGGCTTTGTTGATTTAAAATCAGTGTATGCATTAAACCACCCTTTCCAAAGACAAAAGGTTCTGTTAACATTTGGCAGCCCATATATTCTATCTAGTTCAGTGGTGCTTTTGGAAGCATCACATTAAGTACAAATAGACTTTAAATTTCTGAATCAAGCTCTGAAAAGCGGGGAAGGGAGTAGGCTTGGAAGTTTGTAATGTTTCTGACTGTGATATCACCAAGTTTAAGGATAATAAATAAATGAGTAAATGTGCTTGTGGCACTTTTTAAAACACATGAGGAAAGAGGCAAAACTGATACAGAATTTGTCTCCCATTGTAAACTGGAAAAGTGGAAGAAATTGGGTTCACACTGTAGGTGGGGCCATACAAGTCATTTTCAATAGTACTGGAACTGCAACCAAGAAATATGGTTATTACTTAATAAAGGAGGGTTTCTGCTTTATTTTCAGGAATATTATCTGTTGCAGGAGATCCATGCACTGCTTTATTTGAAAACTTCAATATGACCAGCAATAGCACAGAAATAGTTAGCTGCTGCTTAAACCTCTTTAACAGGTAATTATAGAATGGCAGAATCTCACTTCAGAGAATCACATCTGAAGTTCAATTATTTCTCTTACAGAATACAGGAATACTATATGCAATACTGCAAAAAGATAATACAAAGATAATGAAAATGTAGCTCAAAAGTTAATGCTTCAGACTTCATGAACATTGTTGAGCTATCATTTTATAACTATTAATCTTAGAATTTGAGGTTGGTTTCTATGCACGTCACCTCTCACCAGCTACACACAAACAAAGGCCACATTCATAAATAGCACTTCCATAAGGTATCATTTAGTAAGCGATGTTGCAACCCAAGAATGCCCACTTCACATCTCCCTTCACAACAGGGCTCACATAGCATGACATCCAAATGCATTATTTAAGGCTCTCCCCCCCCCCATGATAAACCATGAGCACAGCAAGAAACCATGGTTTAAGCTTTTTGGGCTGTCACAGGGACCAGCCAATCAGCACTGTGCACAGCCAACTTCTTCTGGAAACAGAAAGAACTTGTTGGCCCTAAGCTTGATTCTGTAAGGAAGTGTGTAAAAGGTAAAGGTAAAGGACCCCTGACAGTTAAGTCCAGTCGCAAACGACTCTGGGGTTGTGACGGTCATCTCGCTTTACTGGCCGAGGGAGCCGACGTTTTCTGGGTCATGTGGCCAGCATGACTAAGCCACTTCTGGCGGAACCAGAGCAGCGCACGGAAACACTGTTTACCTTCCTGCCACAGTGATACCTATTTATCTACTTGCACTGGTGTGCTTTCGAACTGCTAGGTTGGTAAGAGCTGGGCAACGGGAGCTCACCCCGTCGCGGGGATTCGAACTGCCAACCTTCCAATTGGCAAGCCCTAGGCGCAGTGGTTTAGACCACAGCGCCACCCACGTCCCTAAGGAAGTATGTACATCTGGCCAAAAGCAGAGAGTAGCAGATCCACATTGGGCTCACCACTCAATCTCTGTGCATTGGTACACAGCCTAAGCCAACCCAGAGACTGATTTATTTATTTTAAGGAACCTGCTAGGTCTTTAGCTTCAGATGTTTTGTTAGCCACTCTCATTGCTCATCCCAGAGCAGAGCACATAACCATTTTAGAATACAACACCTAAAATAAAAGTAAAATAAAACACAAAACATACTCTCAGCAACAAGTACAACAGTAAATCACAACAGCCTCCTGCATTAAGTGCATCTAGTGATGAATAGGCACCCTGAAGTCCAACAGATATTTGAGATGTACCCTATAGCCTCAGAGTACTGATGGGAGAAATCAACAATAATAGCTCATGTATGCAGTGACTCTCTTAGAATTGTTTTAAATCTGACAGTCTTCAAACACAGGGAATATGGTGGTGTGGCTCAGGTTAGGGAATCCATAGAATTTATACACAAGCACTTAAATTACTATTACAATAGTATTAAAACTTATTTTCCCTTCTCCACCAGTGCTAACCGTTCCACAGAGACTTTTTTAAAAGCAAACAACACCTTGAGGTCCTTGAATGGATGCTGCAAACTTCTGAACCCGTCTACATTTAACTGCTCCTGGGCGACTCCAGAATTTTAAACTGGGCACTTTATGTAAGGAGACAAGCACAGGGATTTACTTCACTGATGGACTGGTAGGAAAACAAAAGGACAGTGGAGTTGTCTGGTGGTGGTTGCAGACAAGACAAATCTTGTTTCCCAGCTTAAGTAGATTGGCAGCTGTGTAAATGCTGCAGTTTCATCGGGGCTACTGGTAAGTATCTGCTCCGTATCTCTGATGAGCTCCTAAGTCCTGATATAAGCGCCTGGTCATGCTGAAGGGCATGTTTAAACTTTTTAAATGCTATTTATTTAAAACTGTTCCAAATGCCATGTTTGCCTACACCTCCCGACTCTCTTTAAGATCAGGTAGAGACATTTCAATCAAAGATCTTTCTTACACTGAACATAGAAAACTGCCTTATCTATCAAGTCAGGCCGTTGGTCAATCTGCTCAATATTGTCTACACTGACAATATTGTCTACACTTACAGGGATTCAGTGGGAATGTTCAGGGATGCAGGAGATGATATATTGTCTGATTATATCCTTATCCAACTTGTTTTAACAAGTTCCACAATTTCAGCAGAGTAACATTCCCCTTACTTTAAACTTTGCAACTGATGAGTTTGCTCAGACTCGCTAAAGCCTCTATAACAACTGTTCTGGTATTTTCCCCTTATTCCCTCATAAAATATAAGAGACGACACGGTCTTTTACAAAAGTATAAAAAGAGTTTACTCACATTCTGTTCACAGTCGGATCCCAGAAGGCAGACTTAGCTTAATGAAGTAACATACACTTGGAATCTATCTTATAAGAAGACAGTCCCTTTGTCCTCTCTTGGCTTGAAGCCAAGAGTGCATCTTTGGCTTAGTAGATGTTGTGTCTTCAATGCATGTGGTGAAAGAGAGAGAGAGATGGCTGCCCTGCCCTGTGCTTTTGTCATTACCTGCACAGGTGAGACCACACCCACCTCTAGTCACATGCAGAGGAAGTCCGTCCCAGCCCAGAAGGAAACAGGAAGTTTACCTGATGGCTGGACAAACATTCCTCCCCATGTGTAAACATCTTCACTCTAGGAATGTTGTACTTGACTGCTCTTGTGTTTCACATCCTACAGATTCAGACAGTGTACTTTCCCAGTTCTACCTGGTGATGCTGGGGACTGAAACTGGGACCTTCTGTATACAAAGCAGATGATTCCCCCCATGACCTTTCTCCTCGGTTACAGCCCCTTCTGTGGTCTTGCTCTATGAACTCAAAATTACCTAAGTGTGATCTTAAGTATGTATCTCAATAGGACTTTCTCCAACTAAATCTGCTAATATTTGCCATCTGTCTTAAACTTAGATTTTCATTGATATAATTGTGGTTATAGGGATTAAGAGATCTGATCTGGAACTAGCTTTGCATTTGCCTTGCATTAAAGCACCCCTCATATTTCTCCATACCAAACATGACCTCGTTTGAGGAAGCCAATATGCTGCTGTCCAAATGTTGCTGGCCTCCAACCCCCGACAGCATGTTCTGTCAAGGATGATAGGAGCTGTAGTCTAAAAACATCTGGAGGACAACACTTGGACTAAACTAGTTTTATTGTTATTTATTTTTAAAAATACTGACTTACTTTGGTGACAAATCACGACTTGGGATCTGTTGGAAATCTAGCTGTGGTTTTCTTTTGATATTGAACATTCCTGGAAAGTTATGTGTCTTTAGATTCAGGTGGCAAACGAGGGATAATATTCCACATGACCAAGAAAACAACAACAGTTCTTCAATTTCAGCCAGCGGGGGAAGATTTTATGAAATCTGCAGCAAATTAAATTAAAAATGTCAATAAATAGTTAGAAATTAATGCCTGGTTACTGTAAAACAGCCGGGTTTTTCTTCTGAACCAACTGCATGAGCTGTTGTTAGCAATGTGACCACCAACTGTTTTATAAGAAAAGCTTCATAATATAGAACTGCATAGGTACCAAAACAGATCTCACTGCAATCGTTTTTACATGACCAATAACAATACTCTGGTCTATTTACTTTACCAGAGGTTAATTAACTCTACATTGTTATCGCTTCTGGTGGAGCCAGATAAGGAAAGCACTCCTCTGGTACCTCTTTTACAATATTAAAAGATGTTAAGACTGCAGTCCTAACACCAGCATTTGGCGGGCTGAGGGGCCATAGGAAGCTGCCGTTCTAGAGGTAGAGATGGTGGCTTGCCAGCACATACCACTCCAGAATGCCCACAGAAAGCTCTGCAGGTGTAGATGTCCCACTGGTGGTGGGGGACAAAATGAGACGGTGGTGGTGTATTGGGACAGGCCTGGATCTGTAGGATCCTACCTTCTGAAATGCCCCTAAATAGGTCCCTAAACTATGCCAGCTCCTGCTGAGGTCAATGTGGTCAATGGGAAGGGAGGAAGAAAATGAAAAACATTGAGGAAATCATCAGCATTCCATCTCTTGCAATGGCTGCATCTAGCCAGCTGGACACAGGAAGTGGTGGTCATTCTGCCATGGATTCTCCCCAACATTGACATCTCCATAAGATTCTTCTGTTATGCCATGAGTCATCCATTGGTAGAGAACCTGGTATCCCCAAGATGTTGTACTGCAAGTCCCATCAGCCCCAGCCAGCTCAGCCAAAGGTCAGGGACAATGGGAGCTGCAGTTCACCAACTCCTAGAGGGCACAGTGATGGCTATACTGCACTTTGGAGTATCCATTGCACTTTATGGAGATTGTCTCAGGGTAACTATGCAGAGGACTGCAGTGTGGACCTCCTTAATACTTTTTGCCAATTTCATTTCACATCTCGGAATTTTTTTCACTGCAGAGTCAAACAACCTTCAAACAATACTTTACAAAAATATTACTCTTGCAAGAATATCAAGTGTTAATAAAGTTTAAGAACTGGTTATCTATTTATTGTCTAGAGTCAATGAACCACATTGTTTCTTATAGAATTCTGTCTTCGTACAAAAAATATATTTTAAAAAATTCCCTGTTACAAGAAATTGAAATGGTCTTCTTATGCTTGCAAACATTTTCGCAGGACACCTTTCCTACTTCCAGAAAAACATGTTAATAGCAAAGGTAATTTTGACTGGCATGTTTTTAAATGTAGTAATGAAAAGAAGCCTTTGAGAACACAATGTTTTCTCTGGCTGCACGTACAGTTTTCTTGGTCACGTCCTTGGTAAAGACATTCCTGTGGAGGGAATGTGTGAGTTTTAAAAGTGGAATTAGGGGGTGTAAAGCTAATCTGAACTTCTAATAAACTGAAAAAACAACATAGCAGTGCTATGAATTGGAGTATTTCAGCAACTGAGCAGTCATAACTGCAAATCCTTATTTATTTTAGTAATTGAGAGAAGAAAAATTATCAGTCATTACACTTTTGCAAAATAATCATTAATTTGCATAGATTTAAGACTGTTCAAAGGAGAATAAAGAGGGGGAGTGTGCAAAAATAATAAATTCTGATTAATTTCCTGATCTGGATATAAAACTATGAAATCAAGGGTGGGAAACCTCAAGCCAAATGGCAGCTCTCCGCGTCTCTGTTTGGCTTGTAAGACTCTGACCAGGGCACACACCCTCTCCAGTAAACACCAATTGCTGGCCTTGCTCTGCTGCTAATTTTGCTTGGGTAGAATGTGTCCTTGAATGATGACAATACATCTTGTGGGAATGTGTGTGTTTGGTCACAGTTAGTTTTGCAGCACCCACCATTGGTGTGTGGCACCCAGAAGGGTGCTCGTGCTAGAAGGCAGCCCTTGAGCCCGAAAACAGTAAATAATTTTATGAATTACATTGTTTATTTACTAAACAATGGCAATTCATTAAACTATCAACTACACCTACAACTGCATTAGGACATAAAGCATATTGTATTTCCATGTTCCAGTACCTAACGAAGTCACTCAATTTCTCAATGGTCTACTTGTCTTCTACTTTCTCTGGCTCTTGTAAAAGTTCTTACAATAACCAGTCAAATCCCAAGGGAATATTTTTAATTTTTACAGTTACAGCTTAAAGAGGTACTTGCTTGTACCCTGTTACCTAAAATAAGTCCCACTGAGTAGAGAGGCATTACAGTACTGTCAGGGCCGCCTCAGGTCCCAGCTCACAAGAGACCAACGCCAAGTCCACTTTGTATTCAAAGATCTTTATTGCAGTGCATAGTACATTCCACAGCCGAGGCGCGCAGCCCCACGTCTGTTATGCTTAGACCGCTGAAGTCCCCTCTGAGTCAGTCCCGCCTCTACACCAGTTTAAGAGGCTTGTCCTTGCTCCCACCTTTTCCGTTCCTTCCTTTTCTGCAGGGTCTTCCTGCCCCTGGGGTTTCGCCCCTCCTGGATTGTTGGAGCTGGCTGGGGGTACCTTCTCTGGCGAGAAAATATTCTACTCCCTCTTCCCCCCATCTCGAGTCCAGAATCTCTGTGACCTCGTTGAGTGGCTCGGCCCTAGGTGACCTCCCCCTTTTGGGTGACTCTCTGGCGTGGGTCTGGTGCCGTCCCTGACTCCTGAAATCTGTGTGGGGCCTTGTAGGGTTGTGAGCACCGACCTTATGAAAGACTCGGGTGCATTCTGGAACCTTCCGGGAGTTGTCAATCGAAAAGCTACGGGATTTGATCCTGGCCTCAAACTTGGTACGGTCCTAGCTGCCTGTGTCCTAGCCTCTTCTTAGCTAACGACTTGGGCCGGCACCGCTTGGGCTGCTAACCATACCCCAATCCCCCACCTGGATTTCTTCTCCTGCCCTCCTGTGTTTGTCCGCCTGCACTTTATAGGCTTGTTTAGCTAGCTCCAAGTGTCGCCTCAGTTCCTCGTGCACCTCCTGCCAGTTCTGCTGCTAAATGGTCGGCCCCTTGCTGGACCCCCTCCCCTGTCGTTACCAACCCCGGGAAAGTTCTGGGATGCCGCCCATTGTTGGCGAAGAACGGCGTCACACCCGTTGACGCGTGCTTCGTGCTGTTGTAGGCAAACTCGGCCATCGGCAGGTAGTCCACCCAAGCTGCGGTGTCGCTGATTAGCGTAATATTCTCAGGTACTGCTGCATAATCGCGTTGACCCTCTCCGCTTGGCCATTGGTCTGTGGATGTCTTGCCGACGATAAGTTTGATCTTGACGTTCAGGATACCTAGGAGCTTCCTGCCAGAAACTGGAAACAAACTGGCGCCCCGGTCGGACAGGATTGGACCGTGGCAGACCATGCACTCTGAAATACGTGGTCTATGAACAGTTTGGCGGTCTGTTTCGCTGTTGCCACTTCGCGCAAGGAATGAAGTGCTCCATCTTGGTGAACAGGTCTACAACAACCAGTACCCGCCGTCTTGCCTCGGGAGCTGGGCAGATCAGTAACAAAGTCCAGCGCCACCTCGCTCCCACGGCTGCAATGGCATCTCCAGCGGTTCCAGTAGTCCCGCTGGCTTCTTGTGCACTGGCTTGGACCTCTGACAGGTGTCACACCTGGCGATGTAATCTGCGACCTCTCCTCGCATCTGGGGCCACCAAAAGTCTCTGGCCACCAATTCTGCTGTCTTCTCCTTGCCGAAATGGCCTGCGCTGGGTGCGTCATGTAACTGCTGTAGAACCTTTGCGCAGAGCTCGTCCCCTGGCACGTAGAGGGCACCTTTGCGAGTTAGGCAGACCGTCGCGTATCTGGAACTCGTCGTCCCTCGCTGTACCTCTGCACAGTTTCTTCCATCTT